TTCCGGTGAAAATGATGATCGTTGAAAAAACATGCGATGACAAAAATGAAAACCAGCGAAGAAATGGCTAGAGTTGCCAAGTTCCCCTTTAAGGCTGCATCTCTTTTTTTCCATAACACGTTATAAGCATAAAGTATAATGTAACAGACAGACAGACAGACACACATAGGGCCAGTTTCAGACAGGGGTTAGATTAAGCCAGGAGGAGGTCTTAATGTGGACTAGTTAAACTACAACATTTAAGTAGCTTTCATGAGGGGCCCACATGGTGCCGGGATCGATTCCAACCTGCAGGCCCTTTGTTGCATGTCATCCCCCCTCTCTCTCCCTCCTTTCCTGTCTTTATTCACCTGTCCAAAATAAAGGCATAAAAAAAATCTTTTAAAAAAGTAGCAGAGTTTAGTTAGACAATGGAGTCCTGTAGTTAAGATAAGATTAAAGGAGCACACCTGTGTTAAGCCAGATTACATTGGGTACGGGTACATGCTGCGGTCTAATGGTGCTCATAAAACCCAGAATGGAATAGATAATCCGGTCTTGGTGTGGATCTAGAGACAAAACAAACAGCAGAGGCAAAAAGAATCTGCTCAAAAAGTAGTAAAAGTAGCAGTAAGTAAAAACACTACTAAAGCAAATAACCGTCCAGTTATTGAAAATGAACACCACAGTACTGCTGCTGAACAAAAGAAAGAGTGGTTTGGCTGCAAAATGCAGTGAATTCAGAAAACAAAAAGAATTTCATGAGCACAAAATGATATGAATTCTATAGGTTGAACTGGATATGAAGTTGGAATACCATGATGCATACCATCCATCTATGCAGCCAATCACTGAAGAACCCATACTCATAAAATTAAACTTTATAGTTGGCTTGCCCAGCAGCATCAGGAAACACATAAAAAACGTCAAAGTGATCAGAACTTGTGGAAATGTGGGTAAAGGCCTTCTTCTTTGAGACAGAAAGGAAAGTCCAGGCTGAATTATCTCTAATGCATTAGTACATAGAAGTGGTCTCAAAAAGTTATTTCATAAAAGTAGTTGAATGGATCAACAAGTTCTCATCTGGCTGGCCTGGTGGTGCATGTCTGAAATTCTAAACAGCCTATAGACTCCCTCACAAACCGTAAAATAGAAGTTAAACCTGCTTTAAGATTAATTTAGGCTTCAAGTTAGTCTTTGGATTGCTCTAATCCTCCCAAGGACTTTTCTAAGATTGTGCAAGGCGCTTTGAGTTAAGGCCATTTTAGTCTGGGACCATATGGTGTATGTTACATACTGAATTAAGGTGGCTGTTGCTACTTTTGTTTGTTAATACTGAAATGTAAATGCAAATCAACAGCGATCTTGGTGGCAATCTGCAATCTCATTGCTAAATGTCACTACATCCTACACACTAGTCCTTTGAATAGGTATTATAGTGATTAAAGTTTAGCATTAATATGTTTTTGTATATTTTTATATTTACATTTTGATTAAAGGATAAATTTGGTGGTCTATATTTTTCTTGTAGTCAACAAATCCAATGTGCAGAGACTAACCGACAATGAATATTTACAATATCTTCTTCCGCTATGCCACTGAGCGCCATTATTATCCAAAACTATTAAAAACATATCAATAAGCCACACTGTTGCACTGGAGGACATGTTCCTTCATTACCATCAACACACTCATTTATTTGGACTCAATCCCATACACTGTCCTGCTGCCACAAATAATCACTACAGCACCAAATGTGGATTAATCCAGTGCAGAAAATGTATTATTTCCTACTGTTTGAGTAAGTCTGATAAAAATGAGTGTCCAACTGTTGAAATTGATTAAGCCATTTTAAAAATTAAACTATATATTTATGAGGGGTTTTTACATCTTCCCTAGAAACCAATGGCTGTGCTGAGACACGCAGAGTAGGAAAGCAGTACCTTCCCTTACATTCACTTTCAGTTTTAGTATAGTTTGAGGTTGTGAGACAAGTATTCTTAGTGTTTGACTCATCCCTGCTGCTAATCCTGCTATTCTACATGTGCTGTGTGTGTGTGTGTGGCTCATTGTTCTCCTGCTGCTGCTCCTTCTCTCTCTCTCTCCTGAGCCTGTGTATTCTTGGCAGACACTTCATGGTTTCCTTTAAGGGGGCTGGGACTGTCTGGCGTCACACTCGCACATGAAATGTCCACTTCCTACTCGCTATAAAGTAAAAACTGCAACAATCAGCCTGAGGAAGCAGCACAAAGCCCAGATATTGCAGCATTTCTCTGCTTCCAGTTGTGAAGGAGGCTGAAGTAAGAGGCGGGTCTCGGTTTGCTGGGAGAAAAACCATTGCGAGAATCCACAAACTGCACCTGGAGAAATGATCCCCTTCAGACTCACACTGGGAGTATGAGCAGATCCTCTTACCTGCAACAAAGGACCAAAAGGAAACTTTAGAAGGAGAATGTGAGTGAGTACTGTGAGGGTTTTACAGCGGTGTCTGAGCTCTGGCTGTGGGAGGAATGCTCTGTATTTCCAGGGCGTGCTTAGGAATGTCAGGCTGATCACACACATCGCTTAATTTACTGACATTTTTCCAAGCATTACAGCTAAAGTGCTTTAGAGTTCAAATGTATCTGAAGGACTGGAACTTATATTGCAAGTTTTATACAAGATGAGCTCATAAAACATATTCACTGAGTTATAAAGCTACACAGGGTTATTTCTTGACATTTTTATTTTTATTAACATGTCAGTAATGAAAATCTATCTAAATTTTTTTTTTCATTAAATCTTTATTTGTGCTGGAAAGATTCTATAACAAATTAATTAATATAATACCAGTATAAGTATGCCTATGTATTTATGCTTTATTCCAAGGTATACTGTATAAAGGGATTCCCTGGTTCTAATGAGGGTTTCATTGAGGGTTTATGCAAATTCTTAAAGGTGAATACATAACCCGTTAATCTCAAATTAACTAAAACATTGGTTCCAAGGGGGTTTGAAGGCTTTCACATCCTAATGAATACATCATAGGGGCTTGAGTTGGTACTAGAGTTCTCTGAGGAGGTTTTATGGGTGACTTAGAGCATTGGTTCCTAACCTGGGGGTCAGGACCCCGACTAGGGATTGCCAAAGCTTCACCGGATTGCAAGATGTTCTTAATGTTAAGGATAAGAAAACTTAAAAATATACACAGTAGGTCTAGATCTCAGCATTTCCTTCAGTTATGTGAAAACCAAATTAAATTGTTATTTTTAAGATTCAGATTATTACTTAAGATGTAAACTTTGAAGACCTGAACACCAGCTATATTCACAGAGCCTTTACTCTCTGAACAGTGAATTTGTTCTAAAAGAAACCTATTGAGTATGTATGAAAAAAAAAAACATAATACAGACAGATAATTGTATGAAATGGTATCTAAAAGTATCAGGAAAACTCATCTCTGATGCTCACAGGAAATAATCTGCTCAATATTCATCCAAATCTCTCATTTTACACAAACTTCCTGCAGTCATTGTGTTCACTGTTTGGGTTCATTGTACAGTTGATCAGTTGTTCTCTACTGTTATTATTATGTATTGAATATAATGTGAAATATCCATAAAATATGACCATTCCATCTAACTCTCAGCAAAAGTGTATTTTTGAAAATGTTGAGCTATGCCTCAAAAGTGAAAGTATGACAAATGACAACATTCAAAGTCCTGAATTGTTGCTAAGTTAATGTGTAAGAACCATGTTAATAATGTTAACACTTGAGGTGGTGTACAATACATGTACTTTCTGTCTGTTTCCATGTAATTTAATTTACTCAAAATAGTTCGTTAGGTGATTTATGAAATTCTAATTAAAGGGCATTAGCCTTAGCAGCTTTGCAGTAAACAGATCCTTCTGACATGTCCTAACAGGAAAAGCACCGGTGTAACTAATAACATTGATATTTTCCATTCACCGTGCCAGGAGGCCTGTCCATGACAAATTGCCAAAAAAAAAAACAAAAGCCAATTTTGCTAACCTGGTCCGTGCATTTTTTTGTCTTACAGGTTTAGCTTCAGGCTCGTCTACATTTTCTCATACAACCTGTCCCAGTTCTGTGGACACACATGGATACTGGCTAATATTATAGCCAGGTTTCTCACGTTTGGCCATGGTAAGCTTATCAGTTTAAGATTCCATCAAATCAGAGTAAACAGCCGAGTGGAACCAAAATGATGCAATACTGAGAAATATTTGAAGCTTTTTGGGCTAAATATGAAAGAGCAGCTCTCAAATTTTAATTGGTTTTAACTCAGAATAGCAGGAATAGGATAGGTCTCCACCAAATAGCGTATGTTAGTGTGACAAAATAAGATTTTTGACTTTGCAGATGCCTTAGCGGACACATTTTACTCTGTTGGCTTTGTGATGAGTCTGTGCCAGCTGCTCTCCATCCTGGAGCTTTTCCACATCGCTGATGGGATTGAGAAAGCCAGACTTCTTCCTCGCTTCGTCCAAGTTTGTATCACAGCTCAACCTCTCGATGGAATGTTATCACTGATCACGTGGATGTTATAAGACACTCAAATGGAGTTCTTTATCAATGTGAGTAGCTTGGTGGACTGAGCTGTCTGTTTTTCAGGTTATGGAGAAGAACCTCCTGCTGATCATCGTCATCATGCTGGAGGAGATCCAGAGTAAACCAGTCGTATGTGTACAGTTCTTCTTGTGGAACATTCTGGACCTCCTACGGTACGCACACCACTTAACGACTTATCTTTTCATTACACTTCATTCTGTTTGCACTTTTTGGGAAAGATAGCAAATTCCAGGTCTCGTCTGGTCACACACAAACTCGGATTTCAGATACAGTACACTAAAATATGTTTCTGAAAAGATTTTAGGTGAAACAGGCAACACAGTAAAATAATCTAGCTTCATATCTGATCAGCTCTGCCTAGTTTGACAGTTTGATCTGAGTTTGGTGAGTTGACTTCCAAGTTTGTTTTCACTTCACAGACCTGGAAGCTCTGTCCACTAATTATAAACTATCAATGGTCTAAAGCAAGATATCTTGACAAACATGTAGTTTTTAATTACATTTGCTGTGAATCCTAAAAACTGTATATTACTACAACATTTACTGAGTGTTCAAGTCTTGGTAAATATATATAAAGTGGCAGGTATATGGAGAGTTGCAGCAGTATCAGATTATAGTGAAATTGAGTGTTAAGGAATAGTCTTTCTACGACATCCAGAGAGAGCTGTCAGGTGTGCAAGTAATGAACAGAGGCTTACAGCTTATGATCCAACTTACTGTCAGTTATTGTGTAATCAAATGCCAGTATGCCCTTCACTAACACTTTGATGTGTGCTGTTTAATGACAGGTACCCACATGAGCTGCTGTGTGTTATGGACAAACCCTCCATCACCATGCTGTGGATTCGCTACACACTCTGGATTCCATTATATGTCCTGTCAGTGGCCAATGAAGGTGACTAAATCATTTTGTTGACTTCACTTTTACTATCAAACTGCAGAACCGGCAGCCTTAAAAAAGACTAATGGTCTCAGACTGCATCTGACCACCATAGGACCATAAACTGTCAGTGATACTGTAGCTGCTGTCACACATGCTGAACAATATGAGCTGCTGTAACATGTCAAACACATAAGGGAAGTAGTGTCAGCATACAGGAAATGAGTTGACAAAGCAGGGTCAATGATAAAATGTCAGGAAGTGTGTGAGGAAAGTACACTCCAGCCTCTGCTTAAGAGTGTGTTTGACAGTGCACAACACACACACACACACTACGGACAGACCTGAAGCTCCAGTGTATCAGTCACACACAGGCAGTTAGATAACTTCTCACCACTGACCAGATCCAGTGTTTCTGCCCTAAGAAATGTTCTTTATTGGATTTTTTTTAGTCAGGTTCTCAATGGGGCAGTATAAAACATCCCATGTTCAGTATTAAAACTTTAAAGGAATAACTCTCTCTTGAACGTGCTACATTTCTGCTGCTGCTGAGTGTTTCTTTGTGTTCACCAGGTGTCACTATATACCAGGCCCTGCCTTACGTTGAGCCAACAGCACCAACCTCGGCACACATTCACCTCCCCTTCCTCCCGATGCTCTACCTGCCTGTTCTCGCTCTCGGTAAGATGATTTAGCTGGTGTTCAGCCTGGAAAGTGCGAGTGAGGACAGTTTGAGGAACACATCTGAGAGTATGAAGGCTTTTCAAATGACAAAACACTGTGCAAGAGCTTTGAACCACAATGAGGAAGAGTTTATAATTACAGAAAGTTATCACTGTGGAAATTAGAGTCCAAGCAGCTGGAACCCAACTGTGTATGTAAGGATTATTCTTCTGCTTCTTCTTCTGCCCTAAACCGTAACAGTTCGCAGACAAAAATGTGACTGGCTAGATGGTGGTGCTATAACAACAAATTGTATGTTTTGGCATACATTTTCAACCTCGGTCTCAGAAAAAAACTCTTTCATACACTAATGAATACATAGCTATCACTGTTATATTCCATTTCTACAAAAGATCCTCCTAAATGTTACACTCTTGGACCCTTAGGTTCAGTTTAACATAAATGCTTTTAAATCAAAATTGGATTGAGCTATTAGAATTAAATTCGGTGCATGTATTTAGATGAGCCTGAGCTTCCCTGGGATATTCAGCCACTAGGGGTTGCTACAAATGCTAAAAGTTCATGTGTCATAATTGCACATGGATTGCACTGTATGAATTTTTTTTATGAGTTTGCACGATCTAGGGTCATGACTTATTTGATGCATGACATTTTGTAATGACTGATTGAAGGGTGCGACTACAACAGTACAACAAATCTAAAATTAAAAGATGTCAAGCCTCAACTTGTGAGAAGGTGTAAAGTATGTAAACCATCAGTGCTGCTGACAGCTATATTATCTTTTGTCATGATGACTGCCAGATAACCCGTAGAGATAATGATCATTTTACAAACTCTACTCGGAATGCGTGTTTGACCCTGCAGTTGTAATGTCATGACTTGATTAAAAGCTTACTGAGTGAAGTTAGTGGTAAGTCAGGCTGTAGTCAGACTGGAAGCTTTGTGTGCTCACAGATAAATGAAGGCAGAACTCTGAAAAGCTGTATGTTTAGAACAATTGAGCTGTGGTTTGTCAAGCCTCAACATCTATTTATAACCAGTACATTTGGAAGTAAACCTATCTTTTTATACAAAATGACGATAGACAAAACAACAGTTTGCACACTGTTCAGTTTCTCCTGACTTTCTAACACCAGTGTTGTCTATTTAGGGGCCTCTGTAACAGTCTGGCAGCTGCTGAAGGAGAGACAACATCACCTGGAGAAATGGAACAAGAAGATGAAGATGAAATGACACCTCAAATCAAAAGAGTGAATGTTTTGATGTTCTTTTTTTCTTTCTTTTGAAAGGTTTTTGAAAAGATAATTGAGACTTGAAAAGTGATATATATGAGATTTTAAAGATTAATGAAGCAGCAAACAACTATTATGTATATAAAGACACAGCGGAGTCACTGTGTCCTGAGCAGAGAATGACGACACACTCCCTCTGCCTGTGTTGTTATCACAGCCTCTCTGTGGTTTGTTTACATAGCATGGTCCCGTCTATGGAGTCTGGTTGGCCATTTGTTTTGATGCAGTTCTCTATTGCAACAACTAGTAGCAGTTTTGTATATATAACCTTTAACGAGCTGAGTTTGATGTCATCAATAAAATATATATTTAAGAACAGATCTTGAACTCAAAAGCCACAAAATGTAATCCAACACCATTAAATGTTTCCTGTATTTGATGAACTTTTAATGGGCATATATTGTTCTGACATAGCACATTCCTCTTGATGTTGCCGTTCTCATATGTGATTGAAGCAGAGCAACAATGGCAGTGCAGTTTCTGAGTCCATAGTGAAGCACACATATGCTTACACTGTGTAGTGGCTCCTCAGGGCTACCAGCCGTATGCTCTGGTCCATACGGCTTTCTTCTTGAACTCAGCAGAGGACCTCAGGGCCAATAGGGTGGCTGAAACACACACGGACCATCAGATAAACCAATCTGAACATTTCTAGTTTATAATCAAACATGGCATTTTCATTTCTGCCAAGAATGTTGTTTGCTCGTGAGAATGTCAGTGTGATGTCAGTAAGAGGAAAGACAGGCTGTGTGTTTCACGTTGCGCCTGTGTGTGTTCAACTAGCTACAGCCAATACTGATGTTTATGTGTACCTTACTATGCTGCCATAACAATACCAACATCAGTGTTACCCCCCTGTGGAAATCTTCAAACAGATCTGTTTGCATTCAGTGTTTCACAAAAACCCACTGTGTATGTTGGATGCCTAACAAATACACTGGATGCATGTCCCTCCTCCGCTTTCTTCAGTATCAAAGCAATCCAGTGACTTAATCCAGTGTTTAATGTTGCCAATTCGCCAAAATGTAAACCAATACCGGCTTAAAAAACAGGGTCAAGCAGAAGACCACAGCATCCTGTTTAAATCCCCCATAGCATTATGGGAAACAGAAGTAAGAGAAATAATAATAATACCAAAATCCATGAATATGAACTTCCATGTAATATATAAATACTGTGACATAAAGTACTGTGTGTCATATGTGCTGTTGTGTTAGCGTGTTTTACCTTTGGCTGTGCTGATGGTTGTGGCTGACAGACTCTGTTCAGGACCTTCTGTGATGCTGAGAAGCCAGTCTATGAACTGAGACACACGCACACACACACACACGCTGTCATCATCTTGTTTGGCTCTAACAAACTGACCTATAGCTTACTCATTGGTTTCCAAATTAAATACATTGTATCAAAGACACTGACCTTGTGTGTCTGGCTGCTCCAGGGCTCTTTGTCCAGAAGCAGAGTCAGGCTGTGGGAGATTCCCAGCAGGCACTGTGGCAGGACACAGTCAGTGAGTGACTCCTCACCGCCGTACAGACTGTGTCGTACAGTTTGGGGCTTGGAG